CATAAACCACTTTTCAGCAAGCGTACCGGAAAATTTCGTCAGACACGAAGGCCGATTTGAGTTGGCAATATCTAACCTAAAGAGAGCATATGACCTAGACAAGGACAAGTTCTCTTACTCTGGAGAAATTATTCAGGCCTTACTCAGCGCTCGGAAAAAGAAATGGGAACGGGACGAACGGAATCGTGTTCAACGAGAGTCAGAATTTCTGAAGTATATTAAAGGTCTAATTAACGCTGAACGTGACAGGCAACTTCAGAAAGTTTCTTCAAAGAGTTCAATGGCTGCCACTTTTTCAAAATTTGTCAATTCACATCCGCCTGATGTCCAAGAGAGAATCGATCATATCAACAAGATACACAATGAAAGACTTTCTCAGACAGAACAAATTTTTGCACAGTCGGACGAAAACCTTCGGCCACGAAGCGTTCCAGATTATTTTTTGGACAAAATATCTTTCAATATTATGCATGATCCTGTCGTTACCCCGTCGGGGATCACATATGAACGCGTACATTTGAATGAACATTTCAAAAGAAACGGACATTTTGATCCCTTGTCTAGACGCCAATTTGAAGAATCGCAACTATATCCAAATTTGGCGTTGAAAGAGGCGATCGAAGAATTCTTAAGTAAAAATGGGTGGGCAGCGGATTATTAATGAGAGAAGAGGCACAAGAAATCTTAACAATCTGAATTTTGTTCAACATATTCAAACCATACTACTGTATTCAGTACACACGGCATTCTTAACTAATGATTCTGGTAAAACGGCTAGATGTATTTCTAACAATAATAAACATAAACGGTAAAGTGTAATAATGACCGGCAAAGTATATTTGCTTGTATGTACGATATAAGCTACGTAAACAAATTATCAAAAATTATGTATTAAATCTTTTTTATTTTTTTCAACCGTGACTAGAAGTTCGACATCATATTTTTTCCAATGTATTTTATATTGTTCCCTTAAATTATCCTTCATTTAGAGGTACAATTTTTCAACACGTGATTGCTTTGGTCTCATGAAAGTGAAAACTTTTGACCTTTGTGTACTTTTTAGTATAAAGACAGTCGCTTTTCATATCTTTCAGTGTGAGAGTATAAGCATTTATTTTTAAATGGAGGTCACTCAAGAGAATTGGGCATTCTTTCTTCAATCAATGACTTACACATATTTCCACTTATAACTATACATTATTTCCCTCCATCTTTGAATTTATATTATGATTTTCAAGAACAAAAAGACGCATCTCACCCAAAATGACTTGCTACTTTTTACTAGTAGACTTTCGTCCACCTCTACTGGCCCCGCCTAAACTACGCCTGCCGCGGACAGAACCCTCTCCAGCGGCATTCTTTTTCTTGATGAATTTATCCTTTGACAAATCCTCCTCTCCGTCGCTTATGTCCTCTTCCTCATCTTTAGCGTCTTGCTCGGGCTCAATCGCGTCTTCAAAATCAGGAATTTCAACAGAGCTTACAGACTTTGATGTAGATTTCACCGAAGAAGCTTTAAGGAAAGGAATTGGATGCGATGAAGCATTATATCTGTCGTAATATTAAGAAATAAATATTAGAACGTCACTTCTTAACTTTCTTATTCGTAATAAATAATCGGATTCTATTTATAAACCAGAACCATCCGCTTTGTGTGGTTACCTTCTGGTGAAATTCGCCTTGACACTTTTGTCAATACTTTTCAATGTCTTTTCGCCATCATTAGAACCAATTCCTAACTCAATTATTGCTTCCCAATCTTCTTTACTAAGATAATAATAGTCCATGCATTCGATAACCTGATCGATGCCGTGCTACAAAAATACAATAATGATAATAATAAATAAACAAGAAAGTTCACGCGAGAGATAAAATAAAAAACATACCGAACCCTCATTGATAAGTGGGCGTGATAAAGCTGAAAATAAAGTAGGGATATAACTCGATCGAACTTCATTCTTATCACCCGATATTTTCAATCTCATATGAATCTGTAGCTCCTTCAAAATTCGTTGATACTTTAAAGCCTTTGAATTCTGTCCCAACCAACTTGATTTATAAATAATGTTAGTTATAAGTGGAAATATGTGTAAGTCATTGATTGAGGAAAGAATGCCCGACTCTCTTGAGTAACCTCCATTTAAAAATAAATGCTTATACTCTCACACTGAGAGATATGAAAAGCGATTGTCTTTTATACTAAAAAGTACACAACGGTCGAAAGTTTTCACTTTCATGAGACCAAAGCAATCACGTGTTGATAAATGAAGGATAATTTAAGGAAACAATATAAAGTACATTGGAAAAAATATGACGTCGAACTTCTAGTCACGGTTAAAAAAATAAAAAAGATTTAATACATAATTTTTGATTATTTGTTAACGTAGCTTATATCGTACATAAACTGATGACACTTGCACAAGCAAAGATACTTTTGCCGGTCAATATTACACTTTACCGTTTATGTTTATGATTGTTAGAAATACATCTAGCCGTTATTACTAGAATCATTAGTTAAGAATGCCGTGCGAACTGAATACGGTAGTATGGTTTGAACATGTTGAATAAAATTCAGATTGTTATTATTTCTTGCGCCTCTTCTCTCATTAATAATCCGCTGCCCAACCATTTTTATTTAGGAATTCTTCGATTGCCTCTTTCAACGCCAAATTTGGATATAGTTCCGATTCGTCATGTTGGCGTCTAGACAGGGGATCGAAATATCCGTTTCTTTTGTAATGTTCTTTCAAATGTACGCGTTCATATGTAATCCCCGACGGGGTAACGACAGGGTCATGCATAATATTGAAAGATATTTTGTCCAAAAAATAATCTGGAACGCTTCGTGACCGAAGGTTTTCGTCCGACTGTGCAAAAATTTGTTCTGTCTGAGAAAGTCTTTCATTGTGTATCTTGTTGATGTGATCGATTCTCTCTTGGACATCAGGCGGATGTGAATTGACAAATTTTGAAAAAGTGGCTGCCATTGAACTCTTTGAGGAAACTTTCTGAAGTTGCCTGTCACGTTCAGCGTTAATTAGACCTTTGATATATTTCAGAAATTCTGACTCTCGTTGAACACGGATCCGTTCCTCCCGCTCCCATTTCTTTTTCCGAGCGCTAAGTAAGGCCTGAATAATTTCTCCAGAGTAAGAGAACTTGTCCTTGTCTAGGTCATATGCTTTCTGTAGGTTAAAGATTGCCAACTCAAATTCACCTTTTTCTGTTAAAGCTTGACCTAACATGTAATGTCCTTTCACTGACCTCTTATCTTGTCTTATGGCTGACTCACAGTCTAATACGACACTATCATATTTTTTCAACTTCAGATAACATAACGCGCGATTTGTGTAATAAACAGCGTTCCGAGGGTTTTGGTTAATTGCTGCAGTATATTCCTTGATTGCATTGTCATATTCTTTTCTTTTGAAATAATTATTGCCATTAACTTTATGCGTCTCAGCTCGATAGTTTTCGCCAGACATTATAAGCAAGTTATTGGAGAGAAGTAATAAGGCTAATATTAGATGAGGGTGTGTTTGTAACTGTGAAATATGAAAAGTTCTTGAATAACCATAATCGATTACGCACTTCATTGACAGATTATTTATAAATAATTACTATATTTGACCGGTTACACGAGTTTGCTACCATAAGTTAGATGGTGCAACTGTCGTCAGGCGGGCGGATAACTACGTAGCGTAACTTTTCAGCTAAAAATTGTTTCTATATCAATACAACTGGGATTCTATTAGCTGACATAAACCACTTTTCAGCAAGCGTACCGAAAAATTTCGTAATTTTAGTCAGACACGAAGCCCGATTTGAGTACACATCTCGATGCAGAAACTTGCTCTTCGCATCTTGAGTCGTTTTTCGAGAAAGACATTCATTCGGAGTGCATGGAAAAATTTAAACAGCTTAAGTGAGCACGACGAACTTTCAGATGCGCTTGACACCTTAATATCCATGTCTCATGAAGGTATTTTTATTATTAACTTTTTTCTCAGGTTTTTTTCACCTGCAATTACCACCTGTCGGTCGGTTTCTAACTCAATGAAATACATGAATCATAAATACAGAAAATGAGTTTATCGAACTCATTACGGTCATTGTGGATGTTCTTTCCGAAGCTCCCATGGCATCTGCGTTTTTATGTCACATTATTGGTATATATTAAGTCTCATCCTCGAAAAATATCTCATTCTCAATTGGTTTTTGTTAAAATACAAAATATCTATTATCTAGATAGCGCTGCGCTTCCTTCCAAGGAAACCTCTCACAAAATAACGACAAGGCTACTTCAAAAACTCAGACCCGGTATATGTAAGAATTGACTCGCAAACACATTATGACCTATGCAAATTTCCGTAGATTTACTCTCTATCATTGATTTCTCACATTAGGTGGCATATACCGAACAAAACCAAAAAAGCGTACACGTGTTAACGCAGCCATAATTTGGAGTGTACTCGCCGAAAAATTAGCAGGTGGGTCACCTCGTTTTACATATCATTATCCATTTAAGAATGCGGTCTCACTCACCTGTGCATGATCATCAGGCGAAATCAGTTTGTCTTTATTTTCGGATAATGTATGTAATACATTACTGGGTTATCTCCAACATGACACTGACTCGAGCGTACGGCTGTTTTCCCTGATAGCCCTCGAAAAATTTGGGATGACTGGTCAAAACAAGGAAAAGATTATTTCGTCTGAAAGAGATATACACAAGATCTTGTTAGCCTTAGCCAAGGAGTTGCAAACTGAAAATCCTACAGATGATGTCAATCGTCGAAGGCAGTTGAAATTTTGTGTGGAATGGGCTTTAAAAAATACTTTTGGTATGTTTGACATTCATTACTCGTGTTAGAATTAAGTTTCCTTGATCATTAACGACGCCCCGATTACATCTTTTGATGAAATTTATATTATGATTGTTTACGTTTGGAAAAGAAACATCAGAATCTGAAAAGGTATGTCTACAAGAGAACATCATTATTGTCAGCAAGTAGTATTGTTATTAAACTACTTTTCACTATAGGGCGATTCATGGGATTCTAATGATAGTTCTGTAAACCCTAATATTAATGTTATGTTGAATCCTATGGATGCAACGGCTCACTGGAAAATATCTCCTCACGGATTGGAAGTAAGTTCAATCAACAATAATAAACTTGTATGTCAAGACCATGCACTGAATTTTTACAAAATTGTATTTGATAAATGTAAGATAAGAAATGATAACTCCACGTTTGAATCAATACGTGCGACCATGGGAGTTTCGTCGGGAAAGTGGTTTTATGAAGTGTTGCTGCTCACAAATGGAATCATGCAGGTACATACAACTTGATTTACATTTTCTCCGATTATCATCATCTGACGTCTGCTGTGAATAAAATTTTCCAGATCGGGTATGCAACCAAGCGCTGCATGTTTGGTCCCGAAGAGGGCACTGGAGTCGGTGATGACCAAGTAAGAGCAGTACTAAATTGTTTGCAAGTAACCTCATCCTTTATAACCGAACGAAAAATTGAAATTATATAGCATGGGTTTGCGTTTGATGGATGCAGAAATGTTTTATGGGTATGAATTTTCTGAATTTATCATCATCAAAATGAAATTGCTAATCATCTTTCATCGTGTTCAATTCAGGCGAATGGTATATCCTTGCCATATGGTGAAGCCGGGTCGTGGAAGCCTGGTATTTATCGTAGACTTTCGCTTCTTAGTGTGTGACACAAATTGACCTTTTTCTATTTAAAAATGATAGGCGACGTTGTCGGCGTATATATGGATATTTGTCTTGGAATTATTCGATTTTTCCTAAATGGAAAAGATTTGGGTGATATTCCTCTTAATCCCGATCAATTTCGGAAGTTGGCAGAGCATGGATTGCATCCAGCTCTTTCCTTTACATCATATCAGCAAGCTGTTATTAATTTTGGAGCTGATAAATTTCGGTAAGGTCTTACTTAATATTTAATCCCGATGAATAGATGATTTTGTGAATCTTACAAGATTCCTTTCTTGACCTTAGCTATCCGCCTCAATTAGCTTTTCAAACACTTAATAATCACGGTCAACTTTCATTCGAGTTACGTGATTCAATAAAAAAGAGAGTATGGAGGGCTTCACGCTATCGGTCGATGTCAGTGAATTCCTACTGGAAGCAACAATTATCGGAGGCTGAGGAAGATTTTGATACGCAGTGTTCCATTTGCTTTGCCATGCCCCCGAGTATTAGATTGAATCCCTGTAATCACGATGGATTTTGTGTTGAATGTGCAAGAATGATGCATTCATGGTATTTCATAAAGATGAGCAGCTTTTATATTTAATGTACCACGTTAATTTTTTTTTTTTTTTTTTATAGTCCACTCTGTAGAACACCAATTTCCCTCAGGAAGCCTGCGAACAACAAAAGTTCAAGTTTTCCATCTACACCTACTAAATTATCTATCTCATCAGCTTCTGCTTCTTCGTCCCTATCATCACCATCAACTGCCATTGTCTTACCACCGACGCCACCTCATTCGCGTCCTGCTTCTTCTATCACTTCATGGGAGCCAGATATTTTACGAGGGTTAGAACCATAGATTATTTTTTCTTTTCTCCATCTCTTCTAATATACAGTAATCACATCCTTTCTGTATGATTGTTGTAAATAATTCCTGATTCCTTAAATTACGATATGAACAAACAATCCACACCAACTACGTAATTTCTCCTCGACTATATATTACATATTCATCTCTCAGCTTCTCAATACAGAGTGTAATAATTAAAAAAAAAAAAAATTATAGGTTTATATTTGTTATAGGAATAGGTTTTTTTTTTTTTTTTTTTTTATAAAACTTCGAAGAATCTCATTCGGAAACCTACGGCAAACAAAAAAAAAAAAATTTTCACAAGTCAGTGACTTGATTTTGGACAACAAATAAACATGAACGAACAACCAAATGCTCATAAATTTTTTTTTACATGAAAAATTTGGGTTGAAAATATAATGAACGCTGATCACAAGGCAAATAACCAATTAGCCAATTTCGCACATAACAATCTCTTAATGCTCCTATCCATGACTACATCGTGTTGTGACGCTAGGCAGTCAGTTTTCAGCAAATCTTCTACGGCAAAAAAAAAATCATCAAGGCCATCATAAACGCTTAGCTCGGAATAAAATAGCGGTGACGGCACAGAAACTACGAGTCGTATTATCTGTTAAGGATCTAGATATTCGAAATAACATCAAAAAATTGAAATGAATTTGAAACAAGGATATCTCCAGATAATTCTCTGCACAAAATCTTCGTCATAAATGTCAAATTCTTATCATCATGACTACGGATTTCCATCAATTGGCGCGTAATATTAATTGATATTTCATTTTCACAGGTATCAGGACTTGGGCATTTATAAGGTCGAAATAATCTTAACCAACAAGACCCATCCGTCGTGCGAAATTCATGAGATGCATTATTCTAAGCATCAAGAATCATTAGGAATATTGATGGAAAGAATGAAATGTACTAAAATGACGTTACCAAGAAACTGGATTCAACTCCCAAATACTGTTCTAATATAAACGGGAGCATAGTTAGGTCCCATTGTTTATGTAAAGAAATCGAGTTGTTGAACATAAAATATGTCGCGGACGGAAGAAATTTGTCTAAATCTAAAAAGAGTACGCTCGTAACTTATTAGAAAAAATGGTAATATAAAACAGATAAATTGGTTACCATTTTTCATCGTGTTAGGTGATCGAATCTTTTCGATATATATCGAGTGCCACCCAATCTCATCATATTTCTTATCTAAGGTTGAATTATCAATTATTTGATACCACAAAATCACACCAAGCTCTAAACCGTATAAAAGATGATCAAGCGGCAAATCGATCAAAATAGATATATTATCTTTTTGACCGGCAGCAAGTACATTAATGTAAGGAGAATGTACCCTTATCATTGATGAAGAAACAGAGGAATTCTTAGGGTAAGCCACCAGGTGAATGGAATGTAGATCCTTGCTACATGATAAGTGATGCCGTGGAAAAAAAAGTAAATTGTGCGGTAATTCATACAAAACAAATTGCAACTGTTGAAACGGAATCAGATGAACGCACCAGCTGTTATTTATAACCGAAATGTCTAAAAAAACTTTATCATAATTGTTTATACCTCCGTAAATCATTTTTGCATCCAGAATTTGAAGCTCATTTCGATCCTTCGGTGGCCGATCGTCAACATCTTCATTTGATATCACTGGTGTGTCAGAAAGTAATGGTATCAGGTTTTCGATAGATCGATTTGTACGCAAATTTCGCTTAGTTAAAAAAGATTGCTGTAGATGATTAGACACGAATATATTGCTGAAGCTTTCAAGCAATGAATCACAATGAAACAAGAGATCATATTTTTGGTTTAGCTAATAAGTTATTGAAAAATCTATCAGTCGAGGGCAAATGAAAGATGCAAGTTATATGACAAAAAGAAAAAAAATTTTTTTCCTACTATCATACCGTTTCTTCAATCTCTCTAATTTGGGCTATCCCATCGTTAACTCTTGTACTGAGCGAATCGAGGAGTGAACTCATATGGGTAGAATCCGTAATTTGTATCTCTGCGCATAAAATCAAAGGTGAAATTTTCAATATCATAAAGGACCTTAAAAGTGATGTAAATACATACCATCGTAGGTCTCAGCAGTGGACATGGCATTCACCCTAAACTCTCCAACATCAATCAGTTCCCAATGAGACGGATCGCATCTGGAAGAATTAGGCAGCCTAACAATATCGTCAAACCCCTGAAGTAAAAACTCTCCGGTAACGATGTCAAACCCTGCCTGAATTTCTAACAAATGAATGTAAGTTATATTAGTTGACGAATTAGCATATCAAGTTCACACTTTGCGCACACACCATGTAAGACTTTTCCGCTTTCGGAATCCATGATGACACGTCTCCCATCTGTGGTCTGAACAATCAACGTGGATTCAAAGCCCGCATTGCGTTTATCTAGTAGAACCTCCGTCCTAAATGTTCGCCAGAACTTGAATCAACATTTCCATTTGTTGATTCGGATAATTGGATCACAAGCTTACATTAACAAAGACGTTCCACTAATAAAGGTGCCCCACTTTGGTTTTGCGTCATCATCCTTGAAACATAGAACTTGATTTTGTTCGGTTCCTATCCACACGAGGTCCTGTCCGCGGGATTTCATTATACATGTTGTCATTCTCGCGTAGAATCCGGGGATTTTTGACACGAAACTTCGTTCTAATGGTGAAAAGTTTTCATGAAAACTGGCTATTCTAATATTAGCCTCGTACAAGGGACGATATATCACTTTTACAATTCCATACAGATTTTCTACATTTTGAAATAAATCCTCATCCAGTTGACCCTGCCAGAATCCATAAATGCAATGAGCTGGAAGGTTTAAAGAATATTTAGCTTCGGTTTGTGATGACGGTCTCTGCAAAAATATATGAACGTTATTTTCTTCGAATGGCTCAAATTCTTCTTCAGAGAATCTCACATAATCCTTATATACAAGGACAATAACGGGACCGTCCATAATAACTGCCCCTAGGGACCCATTTAGGAAATGATGCAAGTATTATATAATGCGACTCTCATACTTGCAATTAACTTGAACATTCGCTCACCATAAAACGAGGCCTTTGATACTTCATTAATTTCATTTTCTGTCAATTTGATGTCCCATGATTCCTCAAACTCTCCAAACCGACACAACCTAAAATTGGTTGCTTTCGAATCGCAGTAGAGAAGATAAGGGGCTTGACTAGGCATTTAAAACTAATATTAATTTCAAACATAAAACAAGGAAACTGGAAACAAAACTATATTTACACTGCAAATTCAAGATCACTTCTCACTGCAAAAGAAACAATATGCGGACTCGCGTGCACTTTTTTTTTACAGTATATTAATTTTAATTAAGAAAAATCATTTAAGCTTTGAAATAAACACATTTCCAGTTCCTTTAAACAAATTATATAGTTTCAAATTGCAATCTTTTTACTATTATTACCCGGAATTCCTACGAATCCATTCTTTAACCATTTTTTTTCATTTTCCAGCGAAAAGTACTCAAGTACAACCAATCCCTCAGTCTGCTCATAATTAGTCTTTAACAAGAAATGTTGAAATGATGTGTATAATTGATCAGTTTCAGAAAAGTCAAAAGGTTTAAGAGGAAAGAACATCATTAGCAAAATATTGCATGACACGCGATTACCCGCGTATCGTTGATCAAAGTAATAAGTGTCACGTGGAAAATGTATAAAAAAGAAATTTTCTTTTGTTCTCTCCTTAGTTAACACGAATTCGCTTCAAAATTCTTATTAAAAATATTTAAAAAAAATTATTATGCTTAATTATTGAAAAAAAAAAAAAGTTAGCCAGGTATCTTAATCCAGCGGGTGCTCCGACCCCCTTGTACCGGCCAGGACTGGCCGAAGAGAGTCTTGATCTCGGATGAATTCTGTCGTCTTCCGAAAAGCCCCCGTCGGGCGGCCTGACCCATTTTGACTACATTTTGATGATAGATGCTTTTTCAATTTACTTAAAATGATGATAAAAATTAAAAATCGTTTTTTTTTGCCTCTAGTTGAATGCACATATCTCTAATAATAATAATTCTCGTTTGTGTAAACTTCTTAGCATTCATCATCAAAAATACATATCTAAAAATAATTTTATGAAAAGACAGTCATACAAATGTTTTTTCATATACTTTATGTATTAATTTATAATAATACAGTCAAACCTGGATATAACGAACTTGTTTATAGCTATAATAAAATGCTGATTATAACGAATTTTTGAATTTTATTTGACTAATTTTTTTAATTTTTAATAATTAACCCGAAGGTTTACTTAGAAACAAGTATATACAGTATATTTTTTTAGTTACAAACATTATTTTAAAATACAATAGATTGATACTTTAATGTATAAATGCATTACGACTATTTATTTTTTAGTTATAACAAATATTAAATAAATAAATAATTGGAAAAAAATTGGAATATATAAAGCAGTTGACTTTTTAAAACTTAAATATTGCTTGTTAAGTGATAAAGTAATATATTATTTAATTATTTTAAAGTATTTCATACTAGTGGTTAATTTAATTAAGAGAATATTTATAAATATCTTAATTATATTGTTTTTAATATAATCAGTTTGATTTGTAACAAGTATTTACTATATTTATTTAATTATTAATATTGAAAATATAATAGTACAATACTTTTATATATAAATTAAACTAATACTTAAATATCTGTTACTGATTTTATAATCTTTAAATATGATTTTAAAAATAAATAAAATTTCTTTTTCATTTTTTTAATTTCTTGAAAAATTTAAATTCATTATCTATAGTTTATTATTATAATATATTTTCAATATGGTTCCAAAAATTGAAATCGAACAGAATCGCAGGGAATCGCATGAGGTTCAGAACACTATTAAAAATGATGGTGGGATATACCCCACCTATTAAATTTAATATAAACTTAAGAATCAAATACAAAATCGAAGAGAATCGTTAGGATTTTTAATTTTTAAATATTTAATATTTTATTTAAATATTGTTAATATTCAAATTTTATAAATTTATAAATAATAATTTATTTTAATTAATTTATATTTATTAATATTATAAAGATAATAAATTATTATTTACAATATTTATTTTTTCATAGTTAAACAAGCATATATTATTTATTAAATCTTTATAGAAAACAAATAATATATAGTATATTATATTATATAAACTATTCTACTGTTTTAAATATTCATCTTTGACTAATATCTCTAGATATAATAATATAATTTCTAATTAATTTACTATATTTTTAATAGTAATACAGTTTTTAAAAAATATTTAAATTCAATTTTATTATATATATAATCTAAATTACTTTTTATATTCCTAACTATTTTTTTTCTTCTTTAATCTATTTCCAAATTAAAATTTTGTCTTAAATTTGTAAATTAGAATCTTTTTTATTATTATTTTGTAATATAAAATTCTTAATTTATTATTAATTTTTTTTTTTTTTTAATCTCGCAATCAGGTTGGTGTCGTTTATTTATTTAATCATAAAGAACCATTACAAGTTGAGAATCCATGTAAAGTATAAAT